TCACGTTTGGAATCCTGCCAAGAAAGCAGACACACTCTGATTTTTTGTTTGTCTGATTTCCCAGTGTGGGACGTGGGGCCGCATTGTGGGGCAAAACAAGAACAGTCTATTGCCTCCCCAACAAGAACAGTCTATTGACTCCCCAACAAGAACAGTCTATTGCCTCCCCAACAAAAACAGTCTATTGCCTCCCCAACAAGAACAGTCTATTGCCTCCCCAACAAGAACAGTCTATTGCCTCCCCAACAAGAACAGTCTATTGCCTCCCCAACAAGAACAGTCTATTGCCTCCCCAACAAGCATGTCTCAGGAATTGACTAACTGGGGGCTTCCTTTCTTTTTCTTTCCAAGCTCATCTGCCTGCTGCAAAGAAAAGCCAAGAGTGCATAGATATGCTAGTAAAACTGGTGTACACGTAAAACAGACGCACTGGCACAGATGGACGAACATCCAGGACTTTTCGCTGGAATTTTAAGCCGATGAACAAAGAAGAAGAAGAAAAATCAGGTTGTCTGTCTAGTTGTTTGTTGAATTCTCTATATTTCAGTATTAGTTAAAAAAAAAAAAAAAATTAAATGAATATAGGACTAAGCACAGTAGTACCCATCATGATTTGCTGACTATTTGTCCCAAGTCACCTATTCTTGTAGTGCCCGTTTCAAACTTTTCGTAACAGAGTTTTAATCCAGTATACGCCTACGTCAGCTATACAGGAAATACATAACAGTCTTTAAATTAATTCTCCTGAACTGAAACTATGCAAAAAAAAAAAAAAAAAAAAAGTAAAGATCCCTTTTCACGCCTTTAGGCGCATCAGGTATATGGGAAGAGCACCCATATTTTTTACAGAGCAATCGGCACTAGGTAGGTAATGTGGTCAGCATTACGCCGGCCGTTTCTACTTCCCCAGGACATTATTAGAGAGAGAAACAATGTAACCCTTCTTACAAGTATAGCAGTACGACAAGATCTTTTGTGATCTCCGTGTCTCCTCCTTATTTCGTGCCCTTGACTAAACAGGTGTGAAGCCTGTACAATGCTTGCACTCCGGGGTAACCAAACGTAATGTTTATCTGTGTAACGTACAGTCATATGCGGGCAATGACGTTGATAAATCACCAAGTGGTATTCAGAATGCTACGAATAAATCTGACACACATGATCTCTTTCTCCAGGATTCTTTGAATTTAAGATTTGCCCAACCGGCGACCCCAGAGTGAAGGAAACCCAGAGCTGTTTTGACAAGAACCCAGTATCCATAGCTGCCTCGCACGGCTCCGGGACAAAGTACTACATTGATGACCAATCCCGGATGATGGATGTGAAAGTGCAGCTACCTCCTCACCTCAGCTGCGAGCATTGTGTGTTGCAGTGGCGATATCACGCAGGTACGTCAATTCTGGAAGCTAGCTGTCCAGCCATCTTCAGCAATTCCTAGAAATGCACTAACATGGTCCCCAGTTCCGAACATGGATCATATTTCTTAAATATCCCTTACTCAACAGTCGAGACTTTGATTTCCAGTTGCAAGTTTTAGGTGCAGCAGTTTTCAGTCCCTAAGTGAAATTGTTACTTCAGTTACAGGAGTTTAAACATAATTTTGCAAGGAAGAGGAAGCAAACAAGTCGGGGAGAGGGTCGGGGAGAGGGTCGGGAAAGGGGGGGGGGGGGGGGGGGGGGATCGGGTCGGGTTTCCAGCCAGAAGTCGAAAGTCTCCACAATTACTGTACAAATGTTACGTCTGCTGGTCGGTCTTCTCATGCCTTGTGCTGTAGAGGTTTGTCAGACTGATTGCCAGACTGCCTTAGTCTCTTGACACACACGACACAGTACAAGTATTCAGTCTGCTGGTACAAGCCACACAGTACAAGTATTCAGCCTGCTGGTACAAGCCACATGGTACAAGTTTCGGTCTGCTGTGGCAAGCCACACGGTACAAGTATTCAGTCTGCTGGTACAAGCCACACGGTACAAGTATTCAGCCTGCTGATACAAGCCACACGGTACAAGTTTCGGTCTGCTGGTACAAGCCACACAGTACAAGTTTCGGCCTGCTGGTACACGCCACACGGTAAGAAGTAGCTTGCTCACACCAGGCTACAGTCAGATATGACTGGAAGAGCTACAGTAGCAACAGCAGCAGCAGCATCAAGCTTGCTCCACATGCTTGCTCCATATTTGAAACAAACCAAGTGCGCAACACAGGTGATGATGCCACCAATCGCCACTTGCCAAACCATTTCCTGAAATTCATTTCAAGCCACCTCTGGCGATCAACTGGGAGAGGCAGTGCGCTGCAAGCAGTGGCATTGCAAGGTCAGGTGACACCCGGTGCGGAAAATTTCCAGTCACCCTTCTAAAACAAATACATTATCATACATTTTGTTTTAATGTCAAGAAATACATACTTATGACATATTGTCAGCCCCCCCCCTCTTCCCATGGAACCCGGAGAGGTCCACACGCCCCTACATACACCCATGACAGAAGGCAAACCTTTTAGCCAGTAACAGACCACTACTGACGGACAAAGGCCCCAGTAACAGACCATGATTGACAGACAAGGGCCCCAGGAACAGACCATGATTGACGGACAAGGGCCCCAGTAACAGACCATGATTGACGGACAAGGGCCCCAGTAACAGACCATGATTGACAGACAAGGGCCCCAGTAACAGACCATGATTGATGGACAAGGGCCCCAGTAACAGACCATGATTGATGGACAAGGGCCCCAGTAACAGACCACGACTGACGGACAGGAGCCCCAATAACAGACCACTAATGATGGACAAGGGCCCCAGTAACAGACCATGATTGATGGACAAGGGCCCCAGTAACAGACCACGACTGACGGGCAAGGGCCCCAGTAACAGACCACGACTGACGGGCAAGGGCCCCAGTAACAGACCATGATTGATGGACAAGGGCCCCAGTAACAGACCATGATTGATGGACAAGGGCCCCAGTAACAGACCATGATTGATGGACAAGGGCCCCAGTAACAGACCATGATTGATGGACAAGGGCCCCAGTAACAGACCATGATTGATGGACAAGGGCCCCAGTAACAGACCATGATTGATGGACAAGGGCCCCAGTAACAGACCATGATTGATGGACAAGGGCCCCAGTAACAGACCATGATTGATGGACAAGGGCCCCAGTAACAGACCATGATTGATGGACAAGGGCCCCAGTAACAGACCATGATTGATGGACAAGGGCCCCAGTAACAGACCATGATTGATGGACAAGGGCCCCAGTAACAGACCATGATTGATGGACAAGGGCCCCAGTAACAGACTATGACTGATGGACAAGGGCCCCAGTAATAGACCATGATTGACGGACAAGAGCCCCAGTAACAGACCATGATTGATGGACAAGGGCCCCAGTAACAGACCATGATTGATGGACAAGGGCCCCAGTAACAGACTATGACTGATGGACAAGGGCCCCAGTAATAGACCATGATTGACGGACAAGAGCCCCAGTAACAGACTATGACTGATGGACAAAGGCCCTAGTAACAGACCACAACTGACAGACAGAAGCCCCAGTGACAGACTATGATTGACGGACAAGGGCCCCAGTAACAGACCACAACTAACGGACAAGTGCCCCAGTAACAGACCACAACTAACGGACAAGGGCCCCAGTAACAGACCACAACTGACGGACAAGGGCCCCAGTAACAGACCACAACTGACGGACAAGGGCCCCAGTAACAGACCACAGCTGACGGACAAGGGCCCCAGTAACAGACCACAACTGACGGACAAGGGCCCCAGTAACAGACCACAACTGACGGACAAGGGCCCCAGTAACAGACCACAACTGACGGACAAGGGCCCCAGTAACAGACCACAACTGACGGACAAGGACCCCAGTAACAGACCAGAAGACCTATTTTGGCGGAGGAGGCAGGAGGGGGGGGGGGGGGGGGAGACCCATGTTCTGTGCCAGACACTGTGTTTACTTGCTTGTACTTGTGGATAACTTGTGTGTACCTGTGTTCTGTACCAGGCAACAGCTGGGGCATTGACCCCGACGGGAAATCGTGTGTAGGATGTGGCAACCAGGAGGAGTTTTACGGATGTGCAGATATTGCCATCCTACCTTCACCCCTTGACTGACACAGAAGATTTGTGGACGCCAGCCAACAATCCACAACTACAGGCTGGATCATGGAAGCTCAGATCAAGCCCTACACGTGCTCTAGTATCTCCACCACTGACTTCTTTTTTCTTGTTGTTATGCCACGCAATATAAACTGATGAATTCCTTCAGATTGTAACCATTACATTCAGTATACATTATTGTATGCATCCAGCACAGAGGGAGTGTTGGTTTCTCTCTTGGTGTGTTTGTGTATATGAAGCAAGAGAGGTCCTGGTTGTACGTGATGTGCTGGGGTCATTTCTCTGTGTGGGCTTCAGTGCCCCATTGAGGGGAAAACAAGAATAGACCCACTGCCTCCCCAGAAACCATGTAGTAGGAGTCAGCTAAATCGCGAGGGGGGTGGGGTCTTCCATTCGAAGGTCGGAGTGCATCTGCCTCAGAGGCATGGAAAAAGCAATTAGTCCTGATACTCATGTTTTTGGAGACTAACTGACAATGTATGTTTGATTTGGTCGACATCATACCAGAAACCTTAATCTCCCAGAACATCACCTGGTACCCATTATAGACTGGGTCGATCTGACAGAATGGTCAAGTCGATCTGATAGAATGGTCAAACTAAAACAAAACAAAAAAATGGGATTTGAGCTCAGGACCTTCAGACTGTCAGGGAATTGATTATTTCTCAATGGCAGCTCCCGACTACTGAAACATCCTGTGGACATTGCATTATTATGGCCCTAGCTGCTGAAACTATCTTAACTACTCGCATCAATATTGTAGGGCTGTGTAGGACAGGAAAGGGTAAGTGGGTCTTGAGCCGAACCATTTAGGATTCCACAGCTCAGGCAGCTGGCACGAACTGTAGGGGATTGTATTTTCTGTTGAAGACAGAAACAATGTCATCCCATTAACAAGTATCAGCAATTGGTCTTGAGAGACACATAAGAGCCACACATGGTAACTGTTGGGTTTTCTCCCCGTTCCTTCCCAGGCAGCAGGCAGGAAGTGCTCAAAGTTGTCTGGTGTTAATTGTAAGAGGCTGGAGTGAGCCTAGAGTTGCTGTGGTGAGCCTAGAGATGCTGGAGTGAGCCTAGAGTTGATGTGGTGAGCCTAGAGTTGCTGGAGTGAGCCTAGAGTTGCTGTGGTGAGCCTAGAGTTGCTGGAGTGAGCCTAGAGTTGCTGTGGTGAGACAAAATGGGCCTGTTGTTGGGACTGAACTCCACCTACTGCCTTGGCAGAAAACGGAACTACCCAATGTGTCAGTGCAGCTCCCCAATCTAGGAGCTAGAAGACAACAACCAACAACACATGTCAGTCAGTCAGTAGCATGACCTTTGCAGAACCTTGCTTCCATAACAACTCTCCAGAAAACTTCACGATCACAAGCAAGATATTGTGTGTCTGACACACCCATCTGTAGATCATCCGCCACATCCTGCATCCATCTTCTCTTTGGCCTTCCTCCCTTCCCAGACATATACTCCTCCATTATTGCTCTCTCTAAACTGTCATGACTGACATTTCAAATGACCAAAATATTTCAGTTTTCTGTGTTTTATAGTCTTCAATAGCCAACCTTCTTCAATATTCAGTTCTTGAAGTATGGATGCATTTGTTCTTTTCTTTACCCATGATATTCTTAGGATGTGTCTAATAACATTTGTATTCAAAGGCATTTATGTGCTGTTCAGCTTATTTAATTTTTGTCCAGGTCTTACAGGCGTATGTTGCAATGGGAAAGATGCATGCTCTTAGAAATCTAATTTATGTAGTTCTATCTATTCCACTCCATAATTTATTCACTTGTTTTAGTTTCTGAAGAGCAAGTGACAATCGTTATTTAATTTCTTTCATTGTGTCACCATTGATAATCAATGACACAACATATTCAAAATTGTCCACAACCGCTAATCTTTCCTCATTAACATGATTTTTTTCTCCATGGTAGTTTTATCTGTATGCATTATCTTTGTTTTTGCTGTTCAGATATAAGTTGTGATTTTCACTATTTCTTTGGGTTGAGGTTATTCAGTTTTCGATACCAGTCAGTGATGTGGATAGCAATACTGTATCATCGGTATATCAGATCTCTGGTATTTCATGATCACCGATATTTAAGGCATCATATTACTCTCTGGTTATATCATCTCTGACATTTCTCATTATATTTTTAGTGTACAGGTTAAACAAACAGAGTGACAGCACACAGCCCTGACGGACTCCTTGCTCGATGTCAAACCAGTTTGATGTCTCACCATCTATTCTAACTGCTGCTTGTTGGTCTAGTCACAGCATTGTTATGAGGTTTACTTCTGTGACGGAGAACCCATATTCCTCATTATTTCCCAAAGTTTCTGATATTGTAGTAATGAGGTGTACTACATGTGATGGAAAACCCATATTCCTCATGATTTCCCAAAGTTTCTGATATTGTGGTAATGAGGTCTACTACATGTGATGGAAAACCCATATTCCTCATGATTTCCCAAAGTTTCTGATATTGTGGTAATGAGGTGTACTACATGTGATGGAAAACCCATATTTCTCATGATTTCCCGAAGTTTCTAATATTGTGGTAATGAGGTGTACTACATGTGATGGAAAACCCATATTCCTCATGATTTCCCAAAGTTTCTGATATTGTGGTAATGAGGTGTACTACATGTGATGGAAAACCCATATTTCTCATGATTTCCCGAAGTTTCTGATATTGTGGTAATGAGGTGTACTACATGTGATGGAAAACCCATATTCCTCATGATTTCCTAAAGTTTCTGATATTGTGGTAATGAGGTGTACTACATGTGATGGAAAACCCATATTTCTCATGATTTCCCTAAGTTTCTGATATTGTGGTAATGAGGTGTACTACATGTGATGGAAAACCCATATTTCTCATGATTTCCCGAAGTTTCTGATATTGTGGTAATGAGGTGTACTACATGTGATGGAAAACCCATATTCCTCATGATTTCCCAAAGTTTCTGATATTGTGGTAATGAGGTGTACTACATGTTTTGGAAAACCCATATTTCTCATGATTTCCCGAAGTTTCTAATATTGTGGTAATGAGGTGTACTTCTGTGATGGAAAACCCATATTCCTCATGATTTCCCGAAGTTTCTAATATTGTGGTAATGAGGTGTACTACATGTGATGGAAAACCCATATTCCTCATGATTTCCCAAAATTTCTGATATTGTGGTAATGAGGTGTACTACATGTGATGGAAAACCCATATTCCTCATGATTTCCCAAAGTTTCTGATATTGTGGTAATGAGGTGTACTACATGTGATGGAAAACCCATATTCCTCATGATTTCCCAAAGTTTCTGATATTGTGGTAATGAGGTGTACTACATGTGATGGAAAACTCATATTCCTCATGATTTCCCAAAGTTTCTGATATTGTACAAAGTCAAATGCCTTTGAATAATTCACAAAACATGAGAATAGGTTTACATTAAATTCTCTGGACTTCTCTATGATTAAACGCATGTTGAGCACATGACAGATGACACACCTATATTTGAAGTCTGCAGCTGCTGAGAACAATGTCATGATGGATCAACTACAAACTGCTGCACCAGTCAGACACCAGGACATACACAGTCAGACACCAGGACATACACAGTCAGACACCAGGACATACACAGTCAGACACCAGGACATACACAGTCAGACACCAGGACATACACAGTCAGACACCAGGACATACACAGTCAGACACCAGGACATTCACAGCACATTTTATTTGTTCTTCAGGTGAGTACATTATGAAAAGCAATGCACTAATGGAGAACATGAGATGTACACACCTGGCTATTTTAGCTTAGGAGACAGAGCACCGAAGGGCTGGTGTAGAGTGCAGAGACAATGATTCTATGTACAAAGCAAGAATGGTAAATGTTTTATAGTATATACATTAATTCAGGGCAGAACGGATGAAAGCTGTACCTTTAGCCGATGTTGCTGGCATGTTCAGAGTGGCTGGTACATGATTTGTAAATAATAAGGATATGTTAGTGTAATTCCCTCTCTATCCTATCCTGGGGTAGTGGATGGAGGCATAGCTGTCTCAGATAAGTACAAACACAAAACTGTAACAGAATGTGCAATTATTTTTAGTATGAACATATCTGGATTATCACTTGCGTGATGCAGTTTGTAAACCGTCCCCATCCTCGTCACAGGGCACTTCCCTGGTCACAGGGCACTTTCCTTGTCACAGGGCATTTTCCTTGTCACAAGTCACTTTCCTGGTCACAGGGCACTTCCCTGGTCACAAGGCACTTTCCTGGTCACAAGGCACTTCCCTGGTCACAAGGCACTTCCCTGGTCACAGAGCACTTCCCTGGTCACAGGGAACTTCCCTGGTCACAGGGCACTTCCCTTATCACAGGGCATTTCCCTGGTCACAGGGCAATTCCCTTGTCACAGGGAATATTCCTTGTCACAGGTCGCTCACTCTGAAATGGACAGCGCCCAATGTAAGATCGGCCTAAATGCCCCATTTGTAACCCTTTGAAAATACAATTTGTTTACTTGTTCATTCCCTTGTCTCAACAATGTCAAATAACCAACATCAGCAATAGTTACATGCACTTTTTCTTGAGAAGGCAACAAAACGCCTCCTATGATCACCCAAAATACACAAACTTTTCAAAGTTTAAATATACAGTACCCACAGTTGCTGACCTGCTGTCTCAATTAACTCTTCATTATTAGCAATTAACTCTTTATTATTAGCACACTAGATTTTCAATATGTTTCATTCTTCCAGTAGCAGCCTGATTAATCCTTTCTAGATGAAGATTCTCTAGGCTGAAACTGCAGAAATTCAAGTCTCAAGACTGGACAGAAGGAAGCAGCCTAGCAACTGGGACAGAATGGGTTAACGTAACCACTGTGTGAAAAGACGAGTGCCGGAAACAGCGTGGACAAGACCATAAACATCTGGTAAACTGCATAGCATAAAACAAGTGAATACAAGCATAATAGTTTCGTCACCCAGCTTCTGAGCTAAATGCATGGCGTGACATTGTGAGCTGCGGATTTCATTTGGAATGTTTTTTCGACTGTGACCAAAGTGGTGGTGTGAATTGTAGATTCAGAAAATGGTGCGATGCCTGTCGTCGCAATTTTGGTGGTGCCCATTTGTGATTAAAATTGATCGCGTGGGCAACTGCATATCTGTTGGTGACTTCTGCTACCATCAATGATGAACTGCATTTCTAATGTTGGACTGTTTGTGTTAGCACTTCGGATGACTACCATATGCCTTAATGCGAGTGTATGCTAGATATGCTGAGACAGCAGTCTGTCGATCTTTCCGTAGGGGACTGTGATAAACATTCTCTGTGTTTTTCGTTGGCACAGGAGCAGAGCAAAGATGGGGTGACACGTTTGCTATGAAGCTGAAACTAAGACCACTAGACCACCACCAGAATACAAGCATAAAACATTTTACAAACTGTGAACAGTCGTCATTCAAGGAACACCTGAAGTATCTTGAACCAGTGGTCTCTTAACTGGAGGAAAAGGGTGGGGGGATGGGGGGGGGGGGGGGGTAAGGCAAAAAGGTTTCAAAAAAATGTGGTGAGGCAGGGCGCCAAGCATATTTGAAAGTCAGTGCATCTGTATTTGTAATTATTTGTTATACTTACATTTTGTATTTGTAATTATCTGTTATGCATACCTTTTGTTTTTTTAAATTTCATTTTTTAAAAATATATATATATTAAAAAAATAGTAAACGAAACAACAAGCATGTTTTTGCTTTTATGAAGATCTAATTTATAGATACAATTGAAGATCTAATTTATATGATAACACATGCATTTCATTACAGAGTAAGAACAGACTCTGGCTGAAATATATCTGCAAATTTTCTGTTTTCTTGTTGCAGAAACTGCCAACTTGTCTTTAATCACATTTTGTTATTTATGTCTGCTATATACCCAAGGGGGCTTGTGGGGGAAGGATGTGGGGGTGGGGAGCTTGCCATATACTCAAGGGGGCTTGTGGGGGAAGGATGTGGGGGTGGGGGGCTTGCCATATAATCAAGGGGGCTTGTGGGGGAAGGGGGGCTTGCCATATACTCAAGGAGGAGAGAAGACCACTGCCTCAAACAGTCTAATTTATGTGAACACTTTGTCAGTCTTTCAAAAAGCAAAATATACTGACTAATTACGTATTAAATGTACACAATCCACAATTCTGTGGACTCAATTCATATTTAACCAACATGTAACGCTCCCAGCTGAGATAAAAATGCCATTCTCAGACTGCCTGTTCTAAGTAAACAGACATATTATCTCTTAGAGAAACAGACCGGGCAGAACAACCTGGGCTTGTGGCATTTATCTACGTTTGGTCATCTTCGGGCAAACGCAGGTGAATGCCCAACCTGGCCAGTTGTTGTCTGAGAAAAGCCACAGCTTCGGGAGCATTGAAGGCCAGCACCCTGTAAACCTGGCCCAGGAAGGACAGCATGTGGACGGTCAGTCCCAAGGCTGTAGCCATGAGACAGCAGGCAACAATGATGAAGAAGAACATTCCACCAAACAGGGCTCCGGCAAAAACTACAGCAACGGCTGGAAATGTAAACAACAGTATTTGAATTATTCATGGGATATCTGTGTATAGGAGTTTGTGTGTGTGTACGCGTGCATGTGGGGGGGGGGGGGGGGGGTGTTTGGTGAAGTGGGTTCAAATCCACACAAGCCTGGATTTCCCCCCTCAAATGTGACCTTGGCTCCCAGGGTAACCGGCCTTAAATGGGTACTAGGTGTAGACCTGGGAAGTAAAGGCAGCCGGTGTGATGTTCACCACATCACCCATCGATAGGGGGCCTATAAAAACATGAGATGACCTCATGTGCCCAATGCACCCTTAGCCTGTGAAGAGACGATGACTTTTTTTTTTTTTAAACATTAAATTTTGTGTTTGGGTTTTTATAAAACCACAGACATCAGGCTCAGGGATTAGGAATTCAGTTTCATTATTTTGACATATCGGGTTTGTATTCTATTTAGCAATAAATTGGGTTAGGCTAATTCTGACAATGGTTTCCATGTCAACTGTTCAGAAAGCAATGGCAAACAACTGAATTTAAAACTGCCTCTGACTGCAACAGGCAGGCACTGAGCAAGCATCCAAGGCCCTTCAAAGCATGACAAGGCTCCAAGACTTCAATTTTCAAATTGTGTCATTGTCACTGCCTAAACAATCACCAGATAATCCTCAGCTGACCCCAACTCTGCAAATCCTTGTCTGGACAATGGTCAGATAATACTCAGCTGACCCCAACTCTGCAAATCCTTGTCTGGACAATGGTCAGATAATACTCAGCTGACCCCAACTCTGCAAATCCTTGTCTGGACAATGGTCAGATAATACTCAGCTGACCCCAACTCTGCAAATCCTTGTCTGGACAATGGTCAGATAATACTCAGCTGACCCCAACTCTGCAAATCCTTGTCTGGACAATGGTCAGATAATACTCAGCTGACCCCAACTCTGCAAATCCTTGTCTCGACAATGGTCAGATAATACTCAGCTGACCCCAACTCTGCAAATCCTTGTCTCGACAATGGTCAGATAATCCTCAGCTGACCCCAACTCTGCAAATCCTTGTCTCGACAATGGTCAGATAATCCTCAGCTGACCCCAACTCTGCAAATCCTTGTCTGGACAATGGTCAGATAATCCTCAGCTGACCCCAACTCTGCAAATCCTTGTCTGGACAATGGTCAGATAATCCTCAGCTGACCCCAACTCTGCAAATCCTTGTCTCGACAATGGTCAGATAATACTCAGCTGACCCCAACTCTGCAAATCCTTGTCTCGACAATGGTCAGATAATACTCGGCTGACCCCGCCTATGGAGTCCCTCATCTCGACAACGGCAAGATAATCCTTAGCTGATCCTACTTCTGGAGTCCCTTGTCTCGACAACGGCAAGATGATTCTTAGCTGATACTACTTCCAGAGTCCTTCGTCTGGACAAAGGCCAGATAATCCTCAGCTGACCCAATTTCTAGAGTCCTTGTCCCGAGAAGACATATTTAAGCATGTACAGAATGTGCAACTGCACAGGCGATCACATCAGATGGTAAAACATTACTGCGTAGCCTTATCGGCAGGATAAACAATCATGTTTGTAATTGTTTGATAGGTTTTTACCTATATATGTGAATGTAACTGTATAATGGTTGGGTAACTATATATGTGTATGTAACTGTATGATGATTGTGTAACTATATAAGAGTATGTAACTGTTGTCATGGTTATGTTATATATGTGTATATAACTATTTATGTGTATGTAACTGTGAGATGGCTGTGTAACCATATATGTTTGTGTAACCGTTTGATGGTTGTTTAACTATATTGTGTATGTAACTGTATGATGATTGTGTAACTGTATATGTGTATGTAACTTTTGTGATGGTTGTGTAACTATATATTTGTATGTAACTATATATGTGTATGTAACTATGTGATGGTTGTGTAACCAAATATGCGTATGTAACTGTATGATGGTTGTGTTACTATATATGTGTATGTTACTTTGTGATGGTTGTGTAACTATATATTTGTATGTAACTATATATGTGTATGTAACTATGTGATGGTTGTGTAACCAAATATGCGTATGTAACTGTATGATGGTTGTGTTACTATATATGTGTATGTTACTTTGTGATGTTTGTGTTACTATATATGTGTATGTAACTGTGTGATGGTTGTGTTACTATATACATGTTTGTAACTGTGTGATGGTTGTGTAACTATATAAGTGTATGTAACTGTGTGACGGTTGTGTAATTATATATGTGTATGTAACTGTGTGATGGTTGTGCAACTATATTTGTATATGCAACTGTATTATGTTTGCGTAACTCTAGCAGTAATTAGCTACTTGTAATTAAGACTGTTGTTCATACTTATATAGAACAAACATGAAATCTTACCTTGGCAAAAAATGAAACAGACGAGCCAGAGAATAAATGTTCCACAAACGAAAAGAAAGAAGCACAAGAAGGGCAAAAAACCAAACAGCACCAAAAACATGTACAGCAATGTGGAGCAAGGAGACTGGGCCAGGTTCCTTTTGACTTGCGAAACACTGGGGAGGACATAATTAGAAACATGTGTCAATATCTAACAGTTAACAATGTTGCTATACTCATTAACTCATCTACTCCTGCAGTTAACAACTTCTAGCACCACCCATCATTTCATCTTTATCATCTTCACCATTTAACACAGTGGCCTCCAACCTTTTTCAGGTCAATCACACCCTTGCAACCTTGAGTATACTGCTAGACCTCCACCCCCTTACAAGACCTCCAAATCCCCTTGAGTATACTGCAAAACCTCCACTTCCCCCTCCGTTGAGTATACTGCAAGACATCCGACCCCTTGCAAGACCCCACATGCCCCCTTGAGTATACTGCAAGACCCCCACTCCCATACTCCCCTTGAGTATACTGCAAGACCTCCACTTCCATGCCACCTTTGAGTAAAATGCAAGACCCCGACACCACCTTTGAGTACATGGCAAGACCCTGATGCCACCTTTGAGTACATGGCAAGACCCCTATGCCACCTTTGAGTATATGGCATGACCCCTATGCCAACTTTGAGTACATGGCAAGACCCCTATGCCACATTTGAGTACATGGCAAGAACCCTATGCCACCTTTGAGTATATGGCAAGAACCCTATGCCACCTTTGAGTACATGGCAAGACCCCTATGCCACCTTTGAGTACATGGCAAGACCCCTATACCACCTTCGAGTACATGGCAAGACCCTGATGCCACCTTGAGCATATGGCATGGAACCCCCCCCCCCCCCCCCCCTTTTTTTTTTCTCCAAATAATAAACTTTGATTAAAAGATTGAAATGAGGAGGACAATAAATTCCGCTATAAGTGAAACAGGCAGAGTGCAGATATGTTTTGGCCAGAACGTGTTCTTAATCTATAAAAGCTTGTATTATTCATTCGATTTTTAACTGTAGACTACAAAATAGAAAAAAAAAAATATTCCTGACTTTTTGTTTACAAATAGTTTTAAAAAATGTTTTATTATTTTATTTATAATTTAATTGACCAAACAAAAAATAATATGAAGGATTATTAAAAACTTCTGGTGCCCCTGCCCCCACTGGCGTAACAGATCCACTGCAGCGTGTCAACCCCCACCCCATCTCTCTCTCTGTATGTGTATGTTCGTGTCTGCATATGTGTGTTTGTGTCTGCCTAAGTGTCTGAGTGTGTTTCTGCATGTGTGTGCGTGTCTGTTTGTTTCTGTGTATCTGTTTCTGCCTGAGTGTCTGTGTATTTGCATGTGTATCTGTGTGTGTCTGTGTGTGTGTGTGTGTGTGTGTGTGTTTGTGTGTGTATGTGACAGCATGTGTGTCTGTAAATGTCTCTGTGTGTTTGTATGCATGTATGTACCTACATATGTACTTGTGTATGTATGCGCCATGTGTTTGTATGTAATAAGTATGTATGTGTATATGTATGTGGGTGTGTTTATGTCTGTGGGTGTGTATGCATGTGTGTGTAAGCGTGTGCATGTGAGTGTGTGTGTTTGTGTGTGCTCGCACGCAAGTGTGTGCATGTAGGATTTTTTCTTGATATTCATAATATGCAAATTATTTTATGAGCATAACATGTTTTATTGATAAAATACAGCTGCTGGGTGAAAGATGGGGGTCTGGAAGGGCCAAATGTAAGATGGGCCTGCGTTCCCAATTTGTGACCCCTTGAAAAAAAAAAAGTTTGTTCATTTGTTCGTTCTCTCTGTGATGCTGTCGTACGTAGGTTTTTAAATGAAGTTACACAACCTAACATCCTGTCATCTACAAAAGCAAGTGAAATCTATCTTATAGCATCTATCATATAGCACTTGCAGTCATATGATAGCATCTATCATCTATCATATAGCACTCTTGCAGTCATATGATAGCATCTATCATCTATCATATAGCACTCTTGCAGTCATATGATAGCATCTATCATATAGTACTCTTGCAGTCCGCTGCTGTCAAAAATACGTAATCAGCATTATCAACTGTCTGGGTGCATATGCTTGGACTTTACAAGCTTAAAATATTACACTGTCCACACCACATATACTAGCCATATGACTACATGAACAAATACTTGACCAAACTAAGAAGTAACAAGAAGCATAAGGACCATTCAAACATACACAGTGACTACCCTACATGCATACTCTGAGGCATTAGTCTTCCCCCCAAACAAGACCTCCTACCTCTGCCAAAGGAGATCTGTAGACACCAGGTAAATGTAAACATCCTGAACAATGATGAGGAAGCCAGCAACAACTGGGCTCTCCCAGATTTTCTGCATCCAGTACCCGTCGTCTGCTCCACGTCGGTGGTCACGGGGCTGCCGAAGCTCTCCTTAAGCACAGCAGAGTTAATATTAAACATTTAACATCAAACCAAATTCAATAATATCTCTACATCTGAGAGAGCTCAAACAGTTACTGTGGTGACTATGGTTGAGAGAGCTCAAACAGTTACTGTGGTGACTATGGTTGAGAGAGCTCAAACAGTTACTGTGGTGACTATGGCTGAGAGAGCTCAAACAGTTACTGTGGTGACTATGGTTAAGAGAGCTCAAACAGTTACTGTGGTGACTATGGCTGAGAGAGCTCAAACAGTTACTGTGGTGACTATGGTTGAGAGAGCTCAAACAGTTACTGTGGTGACTATGGCTGAGAGAGCTCAAACAGTTACTGTGGTGACTATGGTTGAGAGAGCTCAAACAGTTACTGTGGTGACTATGGTTGAGAGAGCTCAAACAGTTACTGTGGTGACTATGGTTGAGAGAGCTCAAACAGTTACTGTGGTGACTATGGTTGAGAGAGCTCAAACAGTTACTGTGGTGACTATGGCTGAGAGAGCTCAAACAGTTACTGTGGTGACTATGGTTGAAAAACAGAAAGTCCTAAATCAGTTAATGTCACTAGGGTGTTAACTGTTAGACCTTGATATATTTTAGGCTGTGACATACAAGGTCAGGGTTTGAACTGTCAGACCTTAATATATTCCAGGCTGACCCCAGAGCGATACTGGATGACCCTAGAGATATACTGGTTGACAGCAGAGCCATAATGGTTGACAGCAGAGCCATACTGGTTGACAGCAGAGCCATAATGGTTGACAGCAGAGCCATAATGGTTGACACCAGAGCCATACTGGTTGACAGCAGAGCCATAATGGTTGACAGCAGAGCCATACTGGTTGACAGCAGAGCCATAATGGTTGACAGCAGAGCCATAATGGTTGACATCCGAGTCATAAAAAAATAATGCTGTCCTTACTGGGTACTGATCTGGACAACTATCATGGGTGCACCAGCCACTTTAGCTTCTAGATGACTGTGTGTTATCAGAAGCCAAGTTACATCCCTGCGCTAGTATACCCATTAATTCAATGACCAAATCATTGCCTGCTGATTTCTGGCAAAAGAAGAAAGGAAGATTGATGGTCATATATCCAATCCCCATGTATGTGTCTGCATGTGTCTGTGGGTGTGTTTGCGTGTCTGTGTGTTCTACGTGTATGTGGCTATGTGTGCCTGTGTGTCCTTGTTGTGTCTGTGTGTTTGTATGTGCCTGTGTGTTTGTGTGTCTGTGCGAGTATCGGTGTATAAGTGCCCCTCTGTGTGTATATTTCTGTGTATGTCTCTGTGTCAGTATCCGCGTGTGTCTGTGGGTGTGTGTCTGTGTGAGCATCAGCGGGTGTGTGACTGCTAGTGTGTCTGTGTGCATGTATCTGTGTGTTTGTGTGTGTCTGCATCTGTATGTGTTTGTGCATGTATGTATCTGTACATATGTATGTCTGCATATGCGTCTGCGTGTGTCTGCAAAAACATCAGCGTGTGTGTGTGCGTGAGAGTGTGTGTCTGTGAGTGTGTCTGTGTGCGTATATTTGTGTGTGTGTATTCTTGTGTGTGTTTGTGCATGTATATGTGTGTGTATGCTTGTGTGTGTATCTGTGTGTGTTTGTGCATGTATGTGTGTTTGTCTACATTTGTTTCTATGGATGTTTGTGTGTATCCGTATGTATGTATGTGTGTGGAATATGTGGGTAGGTATGTATGTGTGTGTAAATGTATGTGGGTGTGTTTATATGCATGATTAAGTGAGTGTTTGGGCTAAGACTATCCTCCGAATAACAGTCCCAAATTATCAAGGCCAAAAATATACCCTAACAGGGCCTCAGTCACATGTCAATTGCGGACTTCCAGCAACTTAAATTGCACACTTCCAGCGACTTTCGCTACCACCGAAAGTTTATCTCCCACACCGCTACGCGCGGCGTAGATTGGGGCAAAACTATATGGCTGGGACTCACGAGCAGCAGCTACTGCATCTCCTGCAGCTTCCTTCATTTTATTTGCTCATGAGTCCCAGCTATCTAGTTTAGCCCCATTCCACGCCGTGCGTAGCTGCGTGGGAGATACTCTCGGCAGTGGCGGTATAGTCCCTGGAAGTCCACAATTCGGCAGTGGCGGTATAGTCCCCGGAAGTCCCCAACTGACATGTGACTGAGGCCCTGTTAGGGTATATTTTCGTCCTCGATAATTTGCGATCGTTATTCAGAGGATAGCCCGTGTGTATGTGCATGCATTTAACCACCAATGCTTTTGTGTTTTCCAACCTTGATATTCATAATATGCATATTATAATTTGAATATAACAGGCTTATTGATAAAATACAACTGCAGTGTGAAAGACGGGCGTTTGGAAGAGCCGAATGTAAGACAGGCTTGTGTGCCCAATTTCAAATTGTGACCCTTTGAAAATAAAGTTGGTTGGTTCGTTTGTTCCCCCTCTTCCAGTGTTAGCTGTCGCATCCTATAGAAAACCTTAGCTTCAAAACGTAACCAATCATCAAAATGTCTTTGGGAACAATAATTCAGGTTACAAGTTGACAAGAGATTGATAATGGACTTTTCCCAGTTTTAGTAGCGACTACAGTTTAGGAAATTTGCGATCTTTTTGGCAATTTCCGTTACCATGGAAACCGTTCGAAATTTGTTTCGCAAATGTTCCGGATGGGTCCTAATCTCTCATGAAATTTTGCGATTGGTGTGATTTTCACCAGCTATAAACAGCTGAAAACGGCGGGAACGAACCCGATTAACAGCGCATGTGTACGACAGCCGGATGTCCTGTTTTTCTGTTACATCAGTTTGATTGAAAATAGCGGTTTAGTATTCAAGGTTGGCTTAGGCTTTAACTGTTACTAAACATGGTAATGCTAGTTATAATTGAATTCTCCGTCCAATTTTACATTTGTGTATAAAATTTATTTCTTGTCAGTGGCTAGGTAGATGTACAGTGACATTTTGTAGGCAATCGCTATTATGTGGCTGTGTCTCATTCATCATTGGCTGCCATCTTGTCCAATGACAGTCCAATGTAAAAAAAGCCAAAACGATAAGTGCGCAGTTTGGTTGCGCAGAGAAAACTTCTTGTTTCTGGGAGGCAAGTTTTAGCAGCTGTTGTTTACATCTCATCTCTACAAAAACCTACATATCTCAGCTCAGAAATGACATACAAGCCTAAATGAGGTACCATTGGAAAGAGATTGTTTACAGCTATCTAACTGTGCTGGTTTTATTGGTGTAGAGGGCATTTTGACTAAAGTAACTAGTTTTAGTCAGTTCAACATTGTTATTGAAATATTTTATTGACATACTGAAATTCTTTACTTGAGCTGTCTTCTTCTTCACTTCCTCTTTTACCGCTGTGGGTGTCGAGGGAGATATAAGTTTCTGTTTCTAGCTCTTCTGGCTGCCTCGACCATAGGCACATTGTGCTGTTGTAGAGTTTCTCTGATGTTATCCTTCCATCTTGTTCTTGGTCTAACCCGTGCTCTACATCCTTCTTCTCTTTCCATGTATGCTTTGTATGGTATGGTGTCACAAGGCATTCTCTCTAAGTGGGCAAACCATTTTACTTGCTGTCTTTGTATGTAATCCAGAATTGGTTCTGTGCCGACTTGTTCTCTTATGATCTCATTCCTGATCTTATCTCTTATGGTCACTCCTACAACCCTTCTCAGACATCTCATTTCCGTGGTTACTAATTTTCTTTTATGGTTTGTTGTGAGTGACCATGTCTGGCACTGGTAGCACAGAGTTGGAATAAATAAGCTTTGAATAAGATGTCTCTTTGTGCTGATTGGGATTGTCTTATGCTGTAAGAGGGGGGATAGCTGTCCCAATACTTGGTTTGCTTTACTGCATCTAATGTCAATTTCTTTATCTAATTTCCCATCTTCGGTAAATGTAGTTTCCAGATATTTAAACTCAGATGCCTGTTTAATGCCTTTGTATTCTATTGCTATGTTTAGATCTGTCTTCTTTTTTCCTATTGACATTACTTCTGTCTTTTCAGTGTTGATTCTCATATTATTTGTTTTACATTCTTCATTCATGGATGTTAGATGTTTTGCAATTTCATGGCTGTATCTGCTATCAAGGCCTGGTCATCTGCAAAGAGTAATTCGTTGATCTTACTAAGATCTTCATTCATGGGCTTGGCATTCTTGCATATACTGTCTATGTAGGTGATAAACAGCAGTGGTGATAAGACACACCCCTGTCTTACTCCAGATGTCACTGTCTCACTGTGAAAGTGAAAGGATGAGATGTTCCCTGATTTATTCTAACTACACTTCTACAATCCCTGTACTTGAGCTGTACTGATTATAAAGACAAAGAGTGTTAAGACAGAGTAGAAACGTAAGAAATAACTGAAAGACTATGTAACAGCTGTACGTACGGTCTGTGTTTGTGGCCTGAGACTGCATGTTGACGGTCCAGGGTTCCAACCTCCCAACTTGTGGTTTGTTGATTTGTTAATCGTCTGTCAGCAGCCAAAGTCGCGGCAGTAGCCTCCCCTATAGATGACGTCATCGGTACAAATTTATCTGATGGCGGTAAGACAAACCGATGATTAATTGGCTGATGACTAGAATGAGAACATGTGTGGTGAGGGAGCCATTGGCACCTAGCTTCTCCTCCTTCGTTTGTTCAACTGCTTGTGTCTTAAAACGTCGCAGATATGAATTATGTTGTTCCCCGTCTTTTGCTAGTTGCGTCATCATCATCATCAGGTGCCATACCGACTGGCGTGGACGATCAAGCCTATCCACAATCTGCGATCTCCTGCAGCATGTATCAGTTCGTGTCCTGACACACCTCCATGCCATGCAACAAGGCTGTCAAGCTTCTCTCGTTGTCTTTCTTTATCCCTTCTTCCACAGACTTTTCAGTTGTCACAACATGTTCCATTTTCCCTCTTCTCATAACATGGTCGAAAAATGATGACCGTCTCCTTCTGATGCCTGTGATAAGTTGTCTTCGGGCTCCCGCCTCTTTCAAAACCTCTTGGTTGCTTTTTTTTTTTTTTTGGCTGTCCAAGGTATTTTAAGCATTCTTCAGTAAAACCACATCTCTGAGGCCTTAAGACATTGTTTGGCCTGCCTACCAATTGTCCAGGATTCACAGCCGTATGTTAAAACTGGATGTATGTATCAAGCAAGAAATCTCTTTCTAACTTTAAATGACAAACACATATTGCATAAGATGTTCTTCATTTTATAAAATGCAGTTTTTGCCTGTCCTCTTCTGTTTCTTATCTAAGAAATGCATCTTCCATCTCCTGTTATCCATGTGCCCAGATACTTAAATTTCTGTTCTTGTCCCAAAATAACACCGTCGACTTTTATATCTACCATTTCCTGTAGTTCTTTCTGACTTGTTACCATCAAGACTGTGTCACCAGCATAACGTAAATTGTTTACATTACTATTCCGGGCACATGAATTTAAGATCTCATTATATATTCACTGTCTTTATGCTCTGAAATGTACCTAAACAGTTGTTAATTCGTATAGCTGCTGTTTGCTGCCAATACATACTCTTTTTTATTCGTATATCTTTTCCATCAATGTTTAATTTTTCTAACAGATTGATTACTTCTTCATCTTTCATGCAGTCAAATGCTTTTGTATAGTCTATGAAGCATAAGTACAAATCGGTCTTTGCTTCTATAGCTCTTTCTGACAATGTCCTTAGGATGTATATGGCATTGTTTGTACCTTTTCGTTCTAGAAATCCACATTGTTCATCGCTGATTTCTGGTTTAACTTTGTTTCTTATTCTTCTCATAATTATTTTCAGTAAAATCTTGGTCAGGTGACTCATTAGACTTATTGTGCGATGGTCTTCACGTTTTAAAGTGCCTGGTTTCTTCGGCAGAGCTATAAATATGAATTTTAAAAGGTCTTTTGGAATTTACCCACTATTATAAATATCATTCGATTTTTTCGGGGGAGATGTTGTCTGACCCGGGTGCTTTTTCTTTCTTCAATGCAATGCGTCCTCAACTTCTGCAGTCATTATTGGTAGACCATCATTGTTGGTCTGCTGTTCTACATCTGGTCTGTTATCATCATACAATTCCCCTATAAACTTCCTTAGCCACTTTGCATTTGTTCACTATTTCTTTTTGTATTCTATAGTATTCTTCTTTATCATTCTTTTTCTTCCTTCTTTCATCCATCAACTGCAGAAATTCGGTTGACATCCATTGCTTTTTTTTTTTTTTTTTTGGCATCTCTATCGGTTGGTGGGATCGTCTCTTGTGATGTCTGCTGAATTGACTCACTTAAGATACCCCACTGTTCATAAATAGTCTGTACAATTTCCATTGCATTATACCGGTTTTGCACAGTGACATTGTACTGTTCCATAATTTCTGTATCCGTTCTAAGAATTCCTAAATTTAACTTGATGCTCTGTGGTGTTTTATTAATATCCTTTAGTTTTATTATAATCCTTCCTACAACTCGAACATGGTCACTAAAGCAGTCTGCCCCTGGTCTAGTTTTTGCTCCAACTAAGATGCTGCGGAATTTTATTGAAATTAAAATATAATCAATCTGATTGCGGACATTATCGCCAGGACTTTTCTAAGTCCATAATCTTCGAGGATGGTGTTTAAACCAGGTGTTACATATTATCATGCTATGCAACTTAGCCCATGCCATTAATCTGTCACCTCTCACATTCTTTTCTCATAGTCAATAGCCACCCGTTATTCAGTACACTTTTTCACTTCCTCCCAGTACCATTGTTACTTCACAATTTTTGCATTGATCAACAGCCATGTCTAACTCGTCATAAAATGCGTCAATATCTTCCTCTGAACTATCTGCTGGGAATAAATCGGTACTAAGCTGATGTCAAACGGTCTGCCGCGAAGTTTTACTTATAGTACTCTATCCTGCATTGTTCAAAATCCTTGCACAGTTTTTGAGTTCTTTGGATCCAAAATAATACCAACTTCCCTAGTATATTCCTTCCCACCTAAGTAAATAATTCTGTGCTGATCTGAAAACTGTCTCCCTGTTCCTGGCAATCGCATTTCACTAATTCCTAATATGCTGATATTCATTCTCTTCATTGCCATCTTGATGTTATCCAGCTTTCCGTTTTATGCGAGTGTTCTGACATTCCATGTACCAATGTTCAGGATGTTTCTACTATTTACTTTTTCTACAGTAGCTGGATGGCGGTCGGGTATCACCCGTAGAACATGATGCACCCTACCGGACGAGGTGATTCCACTGGAATCCCCATTCACGTCGTTACCTGAATTCGTAATGTTTTGAGGCATGGTTTTCTAGGGATAATACAACGGTGATTTCCCCTTGCATTACATCGGTTTTGTATGTGGTTTGACTCCAGTAGCCTTTGTCTAAAGAGACTTACCCTGCAAGGCAGCAGGGGTGAGAGGTTATGGCGGCTCTTACCCGCCGATGGCCATGTCGTAAAGTTTTAAGGTATTTTATAGAATTAGCCGTCCCACCAACTCCCCTCCTCTCAATGATCATCACCTGTTTTGGTCAACGGCTAATTATTCAATATATCCGTGGCTAGCCTCTATCATCATCATCATCATCCGATGCCTTGTCGACTGGCGTGGGCGATCATGCTTCTCCATAATCTTCGATCTCGTGCAGCATGTATCAGTCTGTGTGTCTCTATAGCTAGTTGTAATAATGTCATAGGCCAGTGTTTCCCAACATTTTCATAGTCGCAGCACCTTTTTTCAATTACAATTTTTCAACGGCGCCCTAACCTAAGTAAAAGTATGACTATTCGTATGTAACAGATACTCACACTCACACAAACACACATACACACACACATACACACAAACTTAAGTATCTTCGAATATTTCGCGGCGCTCCTGTGAAGAGGTGGTGGCTCCCCGGGGCGTAGCGGCGCACTGTTTGGCAATCACTATCAAAGGCGAAGCGTTTCTGTAGTCAGGGCCGTCTGGCAATATGTGCCCCTAGGGCCTCCTGTGCTGTGGCCCGCTGTGCTGTAGCCCCTACGAGAATCACCCGCACGAATTAAACGCAAATGATCAGTAATACACATATACTTAATGTTATCGGCGCTTCGATAAAACAGGTGTTAAAACATAAACATTGATCAGTTCCTAGGATCTTTCCTTCAATTCTCTATTGTAATTTTCCTAGGATCTTTCCTTCAATTCTCTATTGTAATTTTCCTAGGATCTTTCCTTCAAATCTCTATTGTAATTTTCCTAGGATCTTTCCTTCAATTCTCTATTATATAGTTTGTAGCGTATGAACTCTCCCTCGGTTGTGTGTAGTAAAGCTCATAGAATCTTTCCTTCAGTTCTCTATCGTGTAGTGCACATTGTCTCTCTTCTACTCTGTGGTATTGTCAGACAGCTTGTAGAAGAGGAACGATGAATGTTGAGCACAGACTGTTCCCATTGACACAACAAAAATCCCAACAGCTGATCTCACAAAGTCTCACTGGCCACTGTCTCTCCCCCATTCCTGCCATGTTTAAGCTTGATCGTTACCAGCTGTAGTGATGATTGCGGTGATTATTGTCTGAAAGAAGCCACGAGATGTAGAAAACAGAAGCACGACGCCTCCTTCTGCTAACTCCCCATAGTCAGACTATTGATTGTTTTCCCCCTCTGCTTGCAAAAATGGTTACAAAATGTGAATGTGCGCCTTTCCTTAACACATTATTACAACACAGGATATAACAACAAGTTGCCAATTACTCCCCAGAATCGCGTCCAAGATAAATTATTAAATAAATTTAAAAATCCCTACATTTTTGTTGTTGTTGGTAAGTGTGCAGACTTCAGTTGTGATTTACTACAATAGGAGGCGTTTGTTTATATTTGATGAATAAGTTTGGTTATACATACAAGGGATCAGCATTATGGCACAGGGTAGTAACCAATACGTGCTCCGTTCTACTTCTACTAACTCAAGCCTGAATTCAAAGAATCTCAACGCACTGCTCGAACTCCGTAGCACCAGCGAATATTCCGAAATACTTTCGATAGATTTTTAACTCAAAATTTTGTCCGGGCAGCGCCTCTAGGCTTCTTTTTCGATTTCCAACTGTCAAGGTTTTTTAACTTTCGCAACACGGGCGTCCGATCTTACGATACAGAGGTTAGTTGCGTATCCTTTACAGGACGTTGCAGAACCAACCCCATGTGGTGTGGTTTTTCTAAGCAAATTTACGTCCAGTAGTTTGCCACTGCTATCTGAACGGTCGGCTTTCTTGATACCACTGTCGAAACCAACGAAAGGCACATGGCCTGCAGCTGGGATCGAACCCGGCATCCCGGCATTACAAAGCGTTCGCATCGACTTAGCCACAGGGCCGACTTCTACACAGAGACAGAGGGGAAATTACTAGAAGTTCACGTGAAAAAATTCCAGCCTTCACCGGGGCA